TTGGACTCGATGATCCCAGAGGTCTCTTCCAACCAAATTGATTCTGTGTGATTCTGTGTATAGTGGCAGATTTGCTTTCAGTAAATCTTAGAAGATAATACAATAAGGAGTAGTTACTAGTGGTATCTAGAATTATATTAAGAGAACTCCAAAAACCATTGGAAAGGACTCTCTTCAGTTCCTGCAGCCTGTCGTCTCCTGTACGTACAATTGCCGACAAAATATGACATCTACTAGAGAAGTACTTAAAAGCAGAAATCTTGATGCTTTCGTAGATGCCATCTTACAGTATGTGTTGCAGATGGATTGATAAGAAGCATCTTGAATAAGAATCACCTATTTGTTGGTGAAATATTTCCATTAATTTTGGAGTATCTAGATTACTTTAGGAATCTTTCTTAACTGCTTTTTAAAACCATCGTAGAAAATACACTGAATGCAGTTTTGCGGTTGGTTGGTTTTTGTGTTGTTTTTTTTTTTTTTTCCTGTGATAACCTCCAAGACTAACAAGGGTACGTTAGGCAAACCTCTGGGATATATCATTAATTATCTTTCTTATCTGCTTTTTAAAACCATCATAGAAATACACTGAATGCGGTTTTGCGGTTGGTTGGTTTTGTGTTTTTTTTTTTTTTTTTTCCTGTGATAACCTCCAAGACTAACAAGGGTACGTTAGGCAAACCTCTGGGATATATCATTAATTAAAGTAATTTTTCGTAGGTACATTCAAAGGTACAGCTGACTGACAGTAAGCTTGTAAAGGCTGGAGGTTGTACAAACATAAAGACAGGACTCCTGGTTATAACAATATTGTCTCCTGGTGAAGTTTTCATATGATTTGCTGAACGGATTAGTTTTCTGAATTCTTTATTTCAAACAGTACTAAAAGCCCTGTGCTAGAACTAACATTTATATAGTATACGTGTTATATTGCCTCAAATCCTAGCTTTCATCTTGTTTTAATTTGTAATGGTGGGAGATGGTAGCTTTCCATGGTGTCCTCTATCCTAAAAGTAGCAATTTGACCTTTCAGAAATTGTTTCTGGATGACACCACAATAATTACCTGAGCAGGGAACAATTTTGGGGATTACCAGGAGTAAAGATGACTAATTTGTCTTTTCAGTTTGATGGCATAATGTTAATTTAGAGTGCCACAAACTTTTTACTCCAAACCATAGACAATATTATCGGCACTTAGTTATAGACAGAAAATATACTGTTAAACTTGTAGCTAAAACTCTCAGTTTTGCTCAGTATTTCTCATATTGTTTGGTTTCAACTTTTGGAGTCTGGTCTGAGATTTCTTTTTGCCACTAAGCAAATATCATGAAAGTACAGAAGGTGAATGGAAAAGGAGTTAGTCTGCTGTTGTTGAAGCAAAATATTTTTGGGTTTGTGATTGGTAAACTGGAAGTTCTCAGCTTTGCATATGTAAAGGTAATAAAAATGAGCAAAACATGCTAGTGAAAATGTAATTTGTAAATGATCCACAGTTAACCAGTTTGTGTCTCACAGGTTTTAGAGACCTACATGTTTCACTCTTTTCTTAAAGCTCGTCTGAACAGAAAGATGGATGCTTTTGCTCGACTTGAGTTGAGTACCCAGTCTGAAGAGGATAGGTAAAGTTTTCTCATTCCTTATTCTGGTTTTGAATCTTCTGTTGATATCAGTGATAAAAGTCCTTTTGACTCTATTGATATGAGATCAAGTCATCTATGAATAGGGTTATGACTAATTGATAGGCCATTTTATGAAGATTACTGTAAAGGGGTGATGTGAACATGTCCAGTCATGGCTGTTGAAGTTGTAAACTGGTACTGTAGTTGTAATTTATTATTAAAAAAAAAAAAAAGTAATTTAGTGTGTATGTATACTGAATTTTAAAACTAGTTATATATTATTTTTATTTTTCTCAGATTAAACTTGATGTTTCATGCCCCAAGAAGGCTGACTATGGAGAAAATGGCTTCTAAACGATTTAATTCACAGTACATGATTAGTAGGCGTATGGTAATCAGCATGCCTAATCTGCAAGATATCAAGCTGCCAGAGGGCCCTACTAGAAATTCCTCGCTTCGAAGAATCGAAACAGGCATTGGTAAGGGAAGAACGTGTTGAACAAATACAGAGTCTTTTCTGTTGTCCTTATTGGTGACATCACTGAATAATTTTCACAGAAACAGTGTCAGATGCTGGAAAGAAATGGTGAGCTGAGTCATTTTGAGCTGGGGCCCGTCTGTGCTTCTCCTTGCATGTTAAAGCAGTCGGTAGCCTGCTCTAGGTTTTGCTGTACCACAAAAGACTGATTGGTCACAATAGGATTGATGTTGGAGAATTCCTTCCTGAGTCAGTAACCATGTTCAGGCCTCATCCATCTTATGTCCCGTTCTCCACTACCTTTAAACATAGACTTAGGCTTATCACTGTTTAACGAAGCAAGTCCTATAGAAACTCCATGTTTTGTTTTGGTTTTTTTCCTTTCTTTTTTTTTCCTTTTTTTTTTTTTTCTTTTTGCTTTTCTTTTCTTTCCCAGAATTGATGTTATCAGATATGGGAATATTCTGATAATAAGAACAATGGACATAGAAATATATTGGTGTCCCTAGAACAACTGTAATCTTGAATTTCATGCGATGTAATTGCTTGTTGCTGTGATGGGAATTGCTTTTATTGTTTGTAATATTGCTGGTTGTGAAGATACTTGCACTTCTACTCACTGCTTGTACTAATCAATGTACTTTTTTTTTTTCCCCTTTGTTTTTAGCTGTGAAAATGCCCTCCAAATCAGTCAGTACATTCAAAATCCCAGAAATTCACTTTCCTCTGATGTTCCAGTGTGTTCACTCCTACTATACAGACTTCTTCAACCATCTCAGCAAAGCTATAAATACCTTACCACCTGATAACTCAGCATTGCTGGCAAGGTACTTCTACCTCCGGGGACTTATTAGCTTGATGCAAGGGAAGCTACTAAATGCACTTTCTGACTTTCAGAACCTAGATAAAACAGACTTAAGAATTTTCCCTACTGATCTTGTAAGAAAAATAGTGGAAACCATGCCTCCTCCTGAGCGTTTGCAAGCAGACCGCAAACCTGAGCTGAAGAAGCTGATAAGTAGAGTGATGGAAAAACAAAGAGAAGTTATGAAAATAGATGACCATGTAAAAAATTTTGAATTGCCGAAAACACACATGCAACTGGATGATTTTGTGAAACGAATCCAGGAATCTGGGATTGTCAAAGATATAGATACTATACATCGGTTATTTGATGCCTTAACAGTAGGTGAGTATAAGATGCATTTTTAGTGATCATCTACATTGGTGCAATAACAACTTCAAACCATTTTTTTGTGAACCAAAATGAAAGTCTTGTCTCCAATTGTTTTTAACTATTATTCAACATTTTCTGGGCCTGTAAAAACTCACAATATGTGAGCTTTATGGACAATTTTATTTAATTAGGATAATTATGGAGAATAGATTTATAATGTATACAAGAATGTTCTATACTTGCATCCACAATAAAGACAAGGACTCTACTTATATTTGGGCACAAAATTTACAATATTTTGTGTTGTGTAGGTGAGGTAGTTCTGTGGTCTGATGGTGCGCAGTTCTGCTTTGGCTTAGATTATAAGTAAAGTGAATACAAGGCTGCCCTAATTGCTAATGGAAAATAGCTCTGTTATGAAACTGCTAGGTAGCATCGCAAGGTGGCAGCCTGTTAAAAATAAACTAAAAAAATCCAGAATTCAAATACCTCTTGGATGGTCATCATAGCAAAAGGAGAGGTTATGTTTATATTTGAGAGAATTGTCTTCTCTCCTGAATGAGATCTGAATCTTGTGATTGATTTCTAAAACCATAGTTTGAGAATGCTTTTATAAAATACTATTTAATTCTCTTTCTGTACCTGGTTATTCTGGTAACTGTTTTATTTTGTGACCACAAAGGATTAAACATTGGCCAAAATAGCAAGACTATAGCAAGACTGTCTGAAGCCAGATGTAGCATACATCTCGCAAGAATTTGTGTTTGTTTGGGATTCTACTGTCCAAACACTTAAATTCTTAGAATAATTAGTTACTTAGAATACCTATTGCTGAAACGTTTAACTGTTACAACTTTAGTTTTTATCCCAGGTTGCTAAGTACGTCAACAGAATAAAGAACTGGAAAGTCGTCATGAAAAGTATTCAGTTCAGTAGGGAAGTGCAAATCCTTTCCCACTGGCTGACTGGATTTTTGGCATTTGAAAAAGCAAGACTGGCACAGTGTTTGCTCCCTCCCTCCGTAGAGTAAGGTGGAAGGGAGGATGCCAGATGTATGGGACCTATGGCCTAGGCTAACTGCAGAGGAATCTCTCTACGTCAAGAGAAGAATTTTGTCCCTTAACTGTTTTCCAGGCATATTTTTTTGTAGTTTTTGCACCTTGCTTACCTATTATGCTGTCAGAGGCACAATTTGAAAGTTAGTATCTTTTTAAAGCTATCTTTCTGTGTAAATCTGTATAATAGTTTCTCACAGTAAATAGGTTTTAAAAATTTTTTAGGACATCAGAAACAAATTGATCCTGAAACATTCAGAGATTTCTACAACTACTGGAAAGAAACGGAAGCAGAAGCTCAAGAGGTGAATCTGCCACCAGCAGTAATAGAGCATCTAGATAAAAATGAATGTGTCTACAAGTTATCCTGCTCAGTTAAAACTAACTATGGTGTAGGAAAAATAGCTCTGACCCAAAAGCGCTTGTTCCTTTTGACTGAAGGAGGACATCCTGGCTATGTCCAGATTGCTGCTTTCAGGGATATAGAGGTGAGCATCAAGTAACTTCTTGTTCTCTTGCATGCCTGTGCATATAGGCCGTGTTCCAGTCTGCAAAGTGATCTGTCTCTCAACTTCACGTTTCAGTAAGGAGTGTAGGAAACACCTCTGAAGTCAGTAACTTAAGAGTGATTAGATAAAATTCTGGGTCTTTGGACCAAAAATTTCAGAGCTGATGTGGTATGGTTTGCTAGGTGCTGAGATGACATAGAATAAAAATCTAGAGGTCATAACCTCGAGATGTAGAGAGATGTGCAAAGTGCAGCACATGGCATATATAGAGCTAGAGATGTTTAATAACATGAGCATTAAGTCTGCTTATTTGACTGTGGTGTCAGCGAGCCAGCTTGTATCCACTATGGAGTGCAGTCTGTATGATGTTGCTTGGAAATTAGATTTTCATAAAACGTCTCTGCTTAACAGTGTGTATGGACAATTGAAATAATTAGCTGTAGTTAGAGAAAGTTACCCTGTAGGATGAGTGCTGCACCTTATCTGTGATTGCGTGGTACATCCTCCTTGTTTTCTTTTTTCCATCCCTTTCCAGGATGTTAAGAGCACGACTGTAGCTTTCCTTCTTTTGAGAATACCTACTCTGAGGATTAAAACATTATCTAAAAAAGAAGTCTTTGAAGCTAACCTTAAAACTGAGTGTGATCTCTGGTACCTGATAGTGAAAGAGATGTGGGCTGGAAAGAAAATGGCAGATGATCACAAGGTATAAATATGGGAATTTCTAACCAAATAAGTATGAAGTATATGATTTCTGTCTCTGTTCTAAGTAATTCATGCATCGATCTTAGAACTTCCAGGTTTCGGCAAAGAATAGCAAAGTAATAAACTTTTATTTTTGCTGTTATTTCTAAATATAATACTTCTAGAATAATTAAAAAAAAAAAAAAAAGAAAAAGATTACTTATCCATTGGCATGGAAGTTTTAATTTAGTCACTAGTTCTGTGAAATAGTTTTTGAAGTTCACAACATATGAGAACAGTGATCCTAACTAACAGAAAATTTTCCCCACCTTGCTTCAAAATATAACGCGTAGTTTTACCATGCTAGAACCCTGGTGAATATAGGTCCTTTCAAGGAATAGAGCAAAATGTATTCTCCCGCCAGAAAATCCATGAGAAAAAGGAGTTTCCATTTAAACCACATAATTCTTTGACTGCTGAATTTAATAGTGAAAATGTGGTGGTCCTTCAGGAAGGATTTAAATAATTTTAGCCAAGATGAAGTATAATGCGTACTTCCCTACTGTGAAGAAAGATCCAGCCTGAAAATGGGTATCCACCCTGTGTCCGCTGTGTGTTTTTTTTCATCAGTGCCATTCGTACGGTTTCATTTGCATTTCAAGATTGTGCCAGATCTGAAGTATTCATTGAGTGTAATGAATTAACCCTGGCTCCTGCCTCCCTGCTCCATGACCTTGCTTGGGAGCTGAACATGTGATGTGGCAGTGGGGTTTGGCTGCAAGTAGCATGAATTATGCTGCAGGGCAGCAACCAGCTAGTGCTTGTGCTAAGAATGGCATGTGTTGTGATTGTTGAATGTGGAGACTTGTAAGAATAATGAGCAACAGATGAACTAAAGTAAGACTTTTGTCTTTAGGATCCTCAGTATATTCAGCAAGCACTGACAAATGTTCTCCTGATGGATGCTGTGGTTGGTGCCCTGCAGTCCTCCAAAACCATATATGCAGCCTCTAAACTGTCTTATTTTGACAGGATGAAAAATGAAGGTCAGTCACATAGCAATGCTACAAAGCCTGTTGTTGTTGCATCACCTGTCTCAGCTCTTTCTGTTTATATTCCGATTTTCAACTGATTATCTGCAGAAATATAAAAAGACATTAGTCTGATTGCACTTTCACAGACATAGTTTATTAAATAGTATTAATATAAAGGTTAGGGCTTGGGGTGTTTTTTTTGTTTGTTTTTGGGTTTTTTTTGTTTGTGGTTTTTTTTTTTTTTTTTTTCCTTCTGTGCATCTGAAACTTAGTTGGTATGTCTGTCTCCATGTTGGATGCTGTGTTTTTGTTTTGGTTGTTTAGACTGCTTGGGTGTTGTATGCATGCTTCTGCTACCAGAATTCATACAAATGGCATTTGGGCTCTCCAAGTCAGCTAAGGCTAGAGGGAAAGAAAAGTGAGAAATGTGAATAAATGGTGCAGAATTATTATTTCATAAGAATTATAGATGTTTCAGACTTAAGTGTGCGCTTCACGATCTTTTAAAAATCCATTTTAGTGCCTATGATGGTCCCCAAAACAACTTCAGAGACATTAAAGCACAAGATCAACCCCTCAGCTGGTGAGACATTTCCACAGGCAATAGATGTCTTGCTTTATACGCCAGGTAAGGTGATGTATTGCTTTCTTTGTTAGCCCAGCTTTAATTAGCCTATAAAGCATAACACTTGGTATTATAACTGCCTGATTTTGTTCACATTCTGACATGCTTTGGTTGTGTGTTGAATACTAAAACAGAAAATCATTAAAAAAAGAACAGTAATATTGCATATTAAGATACTCCAAGGCATAGCTTTCACAGTCTTAATTTGTCTTCCTGTGTGTGTATATGCCTTAGAATAGATTTCAATTATGTGTTAATGTGCCGATTTCCCATTAAGACTTCTCATTTATTGAGCAGGGTGGATGAATGATGCTCCACCACTGATCAATATTCATTGTTATTTTTTTATTTTTCAGTAGAGTCATATGGGGGTGTTTGGTTGAACCACAGCGCAGGGAGTAGTGTACCACCTGTTGAAATCCCAGCCAGACCTATGTGCCCATGACTCTCATTTCATAGCATGTGATCTAATGTACTATTCATCGCATGTAATTTAAGTGCATCCCTGAAGAAAGCATTATCAATTTCCTTGTGAGCTTTTCTGTGATACTTGGCACATTTATATCTAATTCAAAAAGCATTGGGGGGAAAAAAAAAACCCAACCAAAGAAAAAAAAAAAGGGGAAGTTAAGGACTGTGTGCAATGGGCATGAATTGAGGTAGCAGATATGTTAGTTCTGGACGTTCCTAACTCTTAACTTCATAACCTTACTAGTCTTCTGATGTAAGTTCATATGTAATTCCTAGTATTTGGCAATTTGAGACAAAAGGGGAAAGTTAATGGAATTCCACTAAGTTAAGTGGGCAGGGGTGGGTGGGTGAGTGGGTTGTGGTGGGTTCAGTGATGCTTTTTTTTTCTTTGTAGTATGGGGCTTCTAAGTGGGGTTCTACTGGAGCAGAGAGAATGAGTGTATTTATTAGTTATGTTTCATAGGGCTTAAACGCCTTTCTGCAATCCCAGTTAGCTAGGTACTTAGTCATCAATTATAAAGATTATCTCTGCTCTCGAATAACTCTGAAGTGTAAGATTAAATGATCAGGTGAGCTCAACAAATAGATGAAAATGAGCACAAATTCATTGTGAAAACTGTCATTCATTAACTGGTGATGTAAGTTCGAAAACACAGATGCATTTTGTTAGAAAGCAGCTCTACCTAATAATGGTTTTCCCGTGCGTCTCCGAAAGTGATTTATTTTCTTTTACCTCCCTCATCTTTTCTACTTCATTTCTAGGGCATCTTGACCCTTCAGAAAGACCTGGCAATGCTCATCCGAAGCTATGGTGTGCTTTAAATGAGGGGAAAGTGGTGGTCTTTGATGCATCTACCTGGTCTATTCAACAACACTGTTTCAAAATGGGCCGCTCTAAACTGGTAAGACTGACACATGGACCACAATTGCTGCTTTAGCTTGGTGTTTTTGTTGCTATAGCCTGCATGATCCTGAATCACTGTTGTTCCTTAAAAGTTGTAGAAAGATACTTGAATTGTTTGGTCTTCAGTTAACTTGGAGAAATGGAGATTTTTGAGAAAAAAGGAAAGGAGAGAAAATGGATTCATAATGAAACAAGTCAATGGTGAGAAGCAATGGACTGGGTATTGGGAGGGCCTGCTGGCCTAATGGCCTGGGTTCTTGGGGCAGGAAGGCAGGTTTGAAACAGTTGAGGAGAAAGAATAAGAGAATTAATATAAAGAGAAGATGAGAAGGGGAGCCCTAAGAATAGATGAAAAGTCACCTGTGCTGAAGAACTGGAAATTGAGGAAAGGTATAAGGAAACCAGGTGGATTATATTGAGAGGGAGATAGCGCTCTAAAAGAAGATGACTCAACCAGAAAGTTAAAGAGAGTTGTTTGTGAAAGACTACCTGAAAAGAGTAACTCTCTCAATGAAGGCGGAAGCTGAACCAGAGTTGCAGACTGAGTGAAAAACATGCAGTAGAGAGAAAACACAGGAAAAGGGATTGGATAGGTCACTTGCGTGAAAGCTGAGAAACACTGTTGTTGGATGACTGTGGGAGAGATTCAAAAAGGGAGAGGTAAAGCTGATGGTGAAGAGCTGGGTAGAGGGAAGATGGAAATCCAGGAGAAGAGTTGGATACCGACCTATTCCAAAGAAAAGAGGAGGAAAGTTTGGAACTGATAGGACTCAGGAGGGAGAGAAATAAAGAGTTTATGAATGAGGGAAGGATGTTCCAGAGACAGTAGAGGAGAAGACAGTATTTTCTTAGACACTACTAACTGAAGTAGGAAGTATGTTTATATCAGATGGTTAGGACGGCTTCCAATCTAGAAGAGACAAATACACTACCTTCTGTGGTTTCCCCTTATGCCCTTTGTAACTTTTACTTTGCTTGGGCCAGGAAACACAGCTTTGAGTCAGTTACTGAGTCACATTATTAATCCTGTTTACTGAAGGATAAACTCAGCAAAGAGATCTGTCCTCTCAATATTTATAGAGCAGAGCAAAGGATAGAATATGGGAGTGCCGAGTCTTGATCTCCTTCTGTAATCACCAGAAAACTGTAGCATCTTAATATAGCCTTTTTCCATGTTACATTAAGGAGTGGTTTTTCTTCTAGATTTTATTTAATCCTGCTTTTTCTCCCCAGACTTGTATGATCATGGTAGAACAGAGTCAAGTGTGGATCGGTTCTCAAGACTCCATTATTTATATAATCAACACCCACAGTATGTCTTGTAATAAGCAACTAAATGATCATCGTTCTGATGTTACAGACATCATTGTGGAGAAGAATAATGGAATACCCAGGTATATTTATTTACAATGTTTTCTTCTTAAAAATACATATATAAGCAAATGTGAAGGATGTCTGTACCAGCAGAAGGGACATGGACATGTGGAAAATCTTCCTGTCATTAAATAGAAAGCCGTTTTATGTAGCTAAAAGAGTATTCACCAGCCTAAAGAATTTGACCCGCAGTGAGCAGAGGACTAGTTACAGATACAGATGATACAGTATTGTGCTTTAATTATTCAACTGAAACAAAGGCAAAAAGTTAACTTGTGCAAAAGGTAAAGGAGCCTATATAGGAAATCAGTGACTGATTTTCCTAGATGTTGGAAAGAATTTATTGTTTTAAATGAGGGGGTTTATCCTGCTAACATAAGCCATCGTTTAACCTGTTTTTGTAGCTCCCATATTGTATATGGTAAGCTAAGAATTTCCTTTTTAAAGAAAGAGCATTATGTACTTTGGAACAAAGAGGATAGAGGAATGCTTTTTTGGATGAGGATGAGAGCAGCCAGGAATTGGCAGCATCCAGTGATGAATCAATACAGATGGAGTTTAAAGACCACTTCACTTTTGCTTTGAGCACGTCATCAACTAGATGTTTACAGCATGCTTCTGGATTTTTCCTGCCTGTTTCTAAAAGAAATAATACATTTATTGTTTTGTTCAGGCAAAATGCTTTTGATCTTTTGGTAGCACTGGGAAGAGTGTTGGCTGGAGGCCTTCACCTGCTGTCTTCCCATGGGAGCAGCAACACTCCCAGGCCAGACCAAACATCAGCCATAGCTCTACAAGTGGTGCAGCAGGTGTAACTGGGTTTCAGGGAGAATTTGCTTAGGTGGTGTTAGAACCTTCTGAAAAAGGTTTTCTCATGTGAAGACAACAAATGTTAAAGGTAAAAAAAGGGATAGTATAATTTGTTTTCTCAGGTGCTAGTAGCAGAGAAAACTAAGAAAACCAGTTTTGAGGTATTTTTGTCCTAACTTGAGAGAAAAAGAGAAAATCCAACAGGCAACAGTGTTCAGGAGAATTATAGGGAAAGTTTTTGTTGTACTTAACTCTTCATGCATGATGTAATGCATGCTCTAGTTCACTTAGAGCTCTGAATTAGCCTGCGGTGTTTCCAGTGATACAGAGTTTGTAAAGTATAAGCTTAAGAGGAAGAAAATAGAATACTTTGGTTCCAATAGGAGACATAAACAGGTTGAAAGTTGGATGCCTGGCTGCATGCCAGAGCTGCTGGTTGCTTAAGTGCACTTAGGGCTGCCTAGAGCCAACTACCTAGAATATAGCGAGGGGAGACAAGAAGTTTGGATCCTTCCCTGGGCGTCTTGGTGGGCACGGGATGGACATGCTCCTGTCCACTCAAGACTCCGGTCACCTTCTTTAAAAGAATTAAATCAGTCTAATTGTTTGCTATTAAAATAACGATAGTATCTGGCTTTGAAGCCTTTTGGACTTCAGTCCATTTTCTGTTGGAAATCGTTGCTATGCTTTACTTTTCCAATCTCTGGAATGAAGAACATTAATTTGACTTACTCTAAGACTGGTTATTTTGCAAGTAAATCTCTTCTGTGTGTGCACTCAGTTCTGAACATGAATGTATACGATACTTTCGTTATTGTTTTTTTAATCTGTACCAACAGTGAAGCGTACTCAAGCAGTTTAGATGGAACAGTGATTGCTTGGAACATCAGCACTCTGAAAGTTAACCGTGTCTTTCAGCTGCCCTGCCAAAATCTCACTTCTATCAAGCTTCATAATGACCAACTGTGGTGCTGTAAGTTCATTCCTCAAATAACTAAAAAAAAAAAAAAATCTTCATATAATATACTGTTTTATTAGGCAGAACAATACATTAATCTCAAACTCAGAGTTATATGTACATGATGTTCTCCCCCATTCTCCACTTAGTCTAAACGTTTAAGCAGGCTTCTGTAGGTAGGGCCTCCAAACCACTTACGTAGACGGCTAGCTTGGATCACTCCTGGAGGTATTGCCCCTGCTGCAGGCTGCAACTTCTGGCTACGCTGTGTTTGTATGACCTCCCCTGGTGATGCCTGTAAATTGGAATGGAAAACTTTGAGAAAGTCCTTTTAAAGTCTAGAGGGGTAATAGCGGTTCCAAATAGCCTTTGGTATTTCAGCTAGACTTTATGGTATTGGTCTGACTTGGTTAGCCCCAGACCTGCATTTTGGCCACTTCTAGAAATTCGTCATCCCTTCTGTAGGACTTCAGATGAATAAAGTAAAGCTTTGTGCTAGGGTAAAGGATCATCTTGAAGTTGTTTCATAAATGGTGACAGATTCAAGAATTTTGCACTGATTCTCAGTACTGCCACACACAAGAGCCTGAATCCAGACATATCTTAACAGAACAGCAACTAAAGCCTTGGGAAATTCCTGGTCCTGCTGTGGGCAGTAGCGATGCTGCCGTTGCTGTGGTGGGGTGAGGATTCAGCCCTGTTAACTTTGTAGCACAGACACTTGGTCTCAGTTCTGTAGGTGAAAATAATTGTGTGCTTGAGAACCTCAGTATGAGATGTCCTCATTTTAAGGAGTTTGTTTCCTCTCCTTTCATCATTTTTGGACTCTAAGCTAACAGGTATATGCCCTGCAGAATAGCAGCCTGTGTTTGGAGAAAGAAGAGATATAGAAAGAAAAAATAAATACTGTGAAAACTGGGAAGAAGTACCTCAAAGATTTCACTGTTGACTGAGAAACAAGACAGTTGTTAGATGCATCCATTTTATTTTGCCTTTTTTCTCCATGGTTTATAGAGATGGAGGAAGTAGGCACTTCTCTTACTCTTTATCTATGTTGAAGGTACTGGAAGTTGCATACTTGTAGTGTCAACTCATGAATTTCGACTACAGATGAAAATTGAGCATCACCTGAAGGATGTGTGTTCCTATTTTCTCTGCTTCCAGCTGTTCCCTGAGGTATTACACTGAAACTGTTAATAGAGTTTAAAGGAAGCATGACTATGTGGCATTCCAAGCCACAGTGCCTTATCGCAGTATACTTCCTGTCAGCAGTGCTCGTGTTAAACGTATCTTTCTGTGCTTTAGAGAGACGAAGTGTGGGCCTCTTATTCAGGGAGCAGTGACCTGTATATTTGGAACACCAAAGACTTTTCAAGTACACCTCAAAAGATTCATCTTCAAGATTGCTCTGAGATTACTTGTATGATAAGAGTTAAAAATCAGGTGAGAGACATTGGGACTGTTTTTACCTGTTGTGGAATTCTTTACTAAAGTTTTGTTTGCAGCTCTCATGGACTGTCATTGGTTAGCTTCCTTACTGGGTGTTTGCATATGTACTGGTTTGAAATGTTGATTGCTCTTTGAAATCAGAGAAGCTAATGACTGCCCAACACAATTTTACAGGTGTACCCTAAAATGCATGTCATGCCAAAAGCCTCATCAGTAATTAAATGCATGGTGACTTTTATTGGCCATTGACATTTTCAGGGAACCATAGAAACTGAAAGTTTAGGTTCCTTGATATTTAATCTCAGGGCTCCTAAGACTAAGCCTTGCAAAAGGTTAATAGACAAACAATAAATGCCAATTAGCTGGCCTATTTTTGTAGATGACCTTTTTCTTGTTTAGTTACCACATTCCTAACTCAACAGAGGCCAAAGGAGCCAAGGGCTTCCTACCTTAGTATCTTGTGTCTCTGTCATCATTGGCCTCAGGCTGTGTACCTGCTCTTTCTCATGGTATCAGTAGCTGTGCAAATGATTGTAGTTGTGATTTTGCATGCACAGGTTCAGGGTTAATTTGCAAATAAATAGCTAATATATATATCTCTACTGAGAAAGCAACTTTCTGAATCTTTTTCTCAGATTTTCCCTCCTTCCTTCCTCAAAAATGACTTTTTTTCATGAAGAAGTGCCTCGTGAAATAGGAAAGCTTTCTGTGTATTCAGCCCTTGGTTAGATTTGTGAACTAAAATGGAAAAACCTTTTGAGGTATCCTTCCCCAAAGTAGAGATAGATATATTTAAGCCCTGTTTTAAGGGAGTGAGAGGACTGTTTGGAAACCCCAAGGCATTAAGCCCTCTCTTGTTCTACTTAAGAACTTTGTTTCTTTTCTCTTCCGCTTACTCCTCACTCAGCTCCACCTTAATTAACATTGTAGTCCAACTCATCGATTAAAAAAGGAACAACTGGAAAATATCCCTGTGTGATTCATCTCCTGAACCTGAGTGTTCAACGCTCCATCTTTCAGCCTGCCAACAGCTCGGCAGCCTCAGTTGTCCAAGGGGGAGTCTGGACCCTGTTGTACTAGCTGGAGCACCCATACTCCTCTTCTACACAGCATTGCAGTTACTGAGAATGAACTTGCAGCCTGGTAAAGGCTAACAACAACATTGGTAGGGTTGTCTACCACAGACTTGCTTTTAAGTGCTTTAATTAAAAATAAGCCATTGTTTGTCTTTAAGAAACCTGAGACAAAACCAATCGCATCTATCTGAAATGGGATGCTTTCTGGCTGGCAAGCATTACTAATACACAACAGTGAGTACTTGCTCTGTACAAAACTGCACAAGATGACCATGGCTGTTTTCTGCTGTGCTGGACCAGGTGCATCTGGCCCCACGTTCTTCTTCTAACGGTGGCAATAGCAGTGCTATGCAGGGAGAGCGTGTGAGCATGGCCTGTATCTGCAGTCCGTTCCCCTTAAGCTCCCTCACTGTCCATGGTTCTTGTTTAGGGGTCCTAAAACGTGCACTTCTGCCTCAGTCTTTTATTATCTATTTTTGGACCCAGTCTCTGTGGATCTGATGTCATTTTGAACTTGCTGGTGCCACAGTTTCCTGTAGCAGCAGGTTCGAGAAGTTCACTGCCAGCCATGTACAGAGAAGTACTTTCTTCTAAGTGAAACTGAACTCTTACTGGTTTCCACGTGTGTCCCTTACTTCTCTAATTGTGGGATGTGTTGAGCAATGGTTCTACATTCTGCTTATCTGCACTCTTGTGATTTTCGTAAACCTTAATGTGATCTCTCCTTAGCTGCCTTCTCTTCTCTCTAGCCTAAGGAGTCCTGGCTTTTTCCATCTTTGCTTATAGCTGTTCCTCTATAGTTTTAGTTACTCCTCCCTGGATTTTCTCTGCTCTTGCAATGCAGAGAGCAGAACTACACACAGCACTCAAGACACGGGCATGCTGTGGGTTTAACGGTGGCAAAGTGACACCTCCTGTCTTATTGTCTGCGCTGGGTCTGTGGAACCAAAGACAAGTTGAGTGGCCAAGGTGAGCAGCTCCGGTGCCAGCATGATCGATTGGCAGTGGAGCGCTCCAGCGCGGTGCACAGGGTGTTCCTGAACCGGGGGAACCCGAGGGGAACAGAGAGACCCGCCAGGAGCCTGCAGCTCATGCCACAGCGGCTGAGGAGACCGGGGTGGGGCCAGGAGCAACAGTGGACAAGGCCCCCTCACACCTATAAAAAGAAACCCCTGGGGAGCGCCAGCAGCCAGGGTGGGCAAACAGGCCGTGGCGCGGCAGTTCGCACAGCAGTTGGTGTGCAAGAGGGGTGCTGTAACTCTGCCAGCTTGACCAGGGAGCAAGAGTACCCACCCAGCAGAAGGCCCTGTCCTCTCCAAACATTGCAGCTGCCACAGCTGACGCAGCTTCCCAGACAACGCTCCGATGGGAACGTGCTGCTACCCAGGTGTCCGGCTGCAGGGTGAGCCCTGCTCTTACAGCAGTACCGGCCAGCGGTGAGTACAGCTGTGGGAGGTGTGCCCAGGGAGAGGAACTCCTCTGCTTTGTGACTGAGCTCTGGGAGGAGGTGAGTAGGTTGAGGAGTATCAGGAAGTCTGAGAGAAAGATATGAACTCCAACAGGTACATATATATAGGAAATTTTCAGTGTTTCCCTTTTCCAGCCTAGCAAGAGAGAACCCTCACTGTATCAGTGTAGCATGTAAAACTTCTCAGCTGTGTCCTAGACTGAAATGTAAAGTAGTGAAAATGATTGTGGTTTGGTTTTGTTTTGTTTTTTCCTCTAGATGTGGGTTGGCAGCAGTGGAAGATTGCAAGGCAAAAGCAAAGGGAAGATCTATGTGATCAGTGCTGAGAAGAAGATTGTGGAGAAAGAGTTGGTTGGTCATGCTGATACAGTAAAGGCGCTGTGCTCGGCAGAGGACAGATACGTCCTCAGTGGCTCTGGAAAGGAAGAAGGGAAGATTGCCATTTGGAAAGCTGAATAGTTAAGCTATTGAAAATGCATCTACCTGTGCCAGAAAAAAGTGAAGACCTTAGGCTGTGTTTACTCCAGCATTTTGCGTATATTTCAACCACCAGTTACTGTTATTGTTTTGTATTCATTGACTTATTTTAGTCCCTACATCAAAAGAAGTGAATCTCTCCTCGCACCTTGTACTGCTCCTGCGCGTTTGATAAAGAAACGGAAATGTGAAAGGAGGAGTCGCTGGCTTTAAACTTGACAGGTGGTGTGGTGAAGGGTCAGGGTTATAGGCCGGACCGCGTGGTGCAGATTGCATTGAGAGCGCTGAAGCCAGCTCAGTAATTCCCCTGGAGCTCTTTCTGGGCAGTGCGGGGGTTGCCTAAAAAATGGGTTTCAGTGCTACCTTTACAGCCTGTAATAGCTGGAAATGGTCACCGAAAAGAGAAAAACTAAGTGCGTTTGTTGAATTTATGGACTTACTGTAAATGCTGAGTATCTTTCTGAACTAGCAGCTAGATTTAGCCAGGAAGACTGTCCATTACCCCTGTGTGTATATTTATGGTGCTGTATTATTTAAAATGTAGACACAGACAAGCTCCCTGCTGGTGAAACAAGATACTTGGATATTCTTAATGAGTATTTTACTTTATAAACTTGTTTTTCCTTTGAAAACAATGCACAGCACTTGGCATTTGTAAGAGTTTGTGAAACTGATTTTTTTTTTTTCATCTGAAGCACTTAATTTATTTAATTTCTGTATGTATTATACTTGCTTTTGCAAGCAACCTCTCAGTTACTGTGCGAACAAACCTCTGCCACTCCTCCGTTCAATTGCTGTTTCTGTAAGGAGAGGAACTGCTGGTATTTTGTGTAGAACCTGCTTAATTTTTAAGTACTACAAAGTCATCAAACTACTCCTTAATTACTGAAGCAAGGATCATCAGATTGCAGTCTGGAGGATTCTCTTGAGCAGTGTTCCCTAAGCACTTCCTGAGCTACGCTGTTTTTTCCATTGATGGCAATTAGCTACAAATAAAACAATAAATCTATGCAGAATAGTTCTATCTGTATCAGTGCTAATGAAGTGGAATACAATGTTTAAAATTTTGTAAATAGAAGGAAAAAAAGGGCTGCTACTTCAGTTAATAAATATAAACCAGTGTAGGCCTAATAGAAGTGTAAACTACTGGAACTATACGTCATGTAATATTTCTAACTCTTTCAATGTGCTGACGAAAGGTTTTATCATATGATGGTAAATGAAATTTTACATTTTTAGTTGTTTTTTTTTCCCAATTTAAGAATATTAAACACTATATTGATACTCTAGCCTCCCTTTGTTCTTTTTCCTGTGTAACTCGATAATACAAGAATGATGATTTTTTATCAGTGGCTTGCATCCCATCTATGTACTCTGGAGAATAATTGCCTGGGTTTTTCGCTTTACATATTGTCCTTTCTAAAACCAGCTTCTGCTGGTAATGTGTCCTCCTTGAGCCCCTCATCTGTAACTTTCAGGTTCCTTATTTCCTCCCCTGGCAGCTGTCTGGCTGGTGGTGGTAAGTGAAATGAATTATTTACTGAATTCAAACATTTCTCTGTACAGAGACACACAAGTGCTGTTAATGAAATTTCACTTGCTGCAGAGATGAACCCAGCTACACCAATCTGCCACCTGCCTGTCATTGCCTTCATTGATTCTTCATTCCTCCCAGACTTTTTAAACTTGGTTTTGCCTTCTCAACTGGTTCGTACCCAGCTTGTGAAAATATCGGATGACAAAACTAGCAAACGTCTATTTTTATGCTTGTAGATGCTTTTATTGCTAAAAGACTCCCCGAGTAATTTATTGAATAGGAAAATAATTGAGTAGATGTCTCATTTTAAAAACACTGCTTTCTTTAATACCAGCTGTTGAACACCAGTATATAGGAGAAGAGTTCAACCACATCAGACAAAACCATGAGATGATACAAAGATCCTTCAGGAAAACTAACCCATCCCCAAGAGCAGGAGGACCGGCAATACCAATTCCACTGACTGGAGGAGCACAATGGTGTGTTGCTTTGTCTCCTGGTGTGACAAGAAAGCTCAGGTATGTGTTCGCTCACCATTTCAGCTTTGCTCCAGCGTGGAAAGGAACCTGCAGGAGCAGCGCTGCAGGGTTTTGTTCAGTTTTCGGTGGATTTTCAGTTACTTCCCGTGGGCCCCTTGGTGGTGGGAAGGGATCCTCAGAGCTCCTCTTTGCCACAATGCCTACTAAGAGCCTGCCAGCTCTAGTTGCCAGTGCGCAGCCGGCGCTGATCCTGCTGACTGATGCTGGCTCATGACTTCTGTGTATTCGTCTCTGTCCGGCTGTTGTTTTACCCTGGGGTAAGCTGTTTGAGGCAGACACCATTCATTCTTCTGGTTGTGCTCGTGTAATGCTTAGCATGACATCATGTTGGCCCATAGCAAGGACTCCTGCAAATCATGACACTATAAATACTAGGGCTTGACGGCTTGGATTTTTTAAATCTTTTGTTGAGCCTTTCGTTTAAAAAA